ATCTTCAACCTGATAGAGAAGGACACTTCTTATGTACCTAGTGGAATACTTGCCTAGTGGAATACTTGCCTAGCAAGCGAATGTTAAAGAACTACAAATCAGGGATTCACAAATGAAAATATCTCTTGCTAAGGCAGAAGACATCTAGGGATGTGTTGTCTATGGAGATTCCAAATTGGCAAGGATACAAAGCTTCACACCCAGTTGCCAGGATTTGCCAAGCTGGAAGGCAATGCTGGACAATCCCAACTGCTTCCCACATCCAAAATAGGCTCCAGTATTTAGTACTGATGATATTCCTAAACCATTGCCTTCAAAAGGGCAGAATATATATTAGGAACTGGCTGGGCAGACTCCAACCAAGGGGTTATTTGGCTGAATCCCTGGTCCATCAGCAGAAACAATGTATAATGTGTCATTACTGTTTTGACAGTTGGCTTAAGATAGATAGATAGATAGATAGATAGATAGATAGATAGATAGATAGATATAAATGTAATGTTCGTTTGTGGGATTAACATAACTCAAAAACCACTGGATGAATTGACACCAAATTTGGACACAATGCACATATCAGGCCAACAAGTAACCATCACTCATAAAAACACAGCAGAAAAGATTTAAAAAGCCAAAAAACAAGAAATACATTACAACGCATGCACAAAACTACATATATATTAGACAAAAACACATATATACACAAATATATACACACATGTATACACACACAAAACATATACACAGACTGGGCCACAGCAACGTATGTATGTATGTATGTATGTATGTATGTATGTATGTTGTTCATTCATTCAGTCGTTTCCAACTCTTCGTGACCTCACGGACCAGCCCACGCCAGAGCTCCCTGTCGGCCGTCACCACCCCCAGCTCCTTCAAGGTCAATCCAGTCACTTCAAGGATGCCATCCATCCATCTTGCTCTTGGTTGGCCCCTCTTCCTTTTTCCTTCCTTTTTCCCCAGCATCATTGTCTTCTCTAAGCTTTCCTTTTTTCTCATGATGTTCTACTATTCTTCCCTCCAATGTGCAGCCGGGCTTTATTTCCTGGAGGATGGACTGGTTAGATCTTCTCGCTGTCCAAGGCACTCTCAGAACTTTCCTCCAACACCACAGTTCAAAAGCATCTATCTTCCTTCGCTCAGCCTTCCCTATGGTCCAGCTCTCACATCCGTAGGTGACTACAGGGAATACCATTGCTTCTATCTATCTATCTATCTATCTATCTATCTATCTATCTATCTATCTATCTAGTTTCAGGAATGACTTGGGAAATTGCAAGTCGCTTCTGGTGTGAGAGAATTGGCTGTCTGCAGGGACATTGTCCAGGGGACACTTGGATGTTTTACCACCCTATGGGAGGCTTCTCTCATGTCCCAACATGGGAAGCTGAAGCTGACAGGGGGAGCTCAGCCGCGCTCTCCTCTGATTCGAACTTCTGACCTGTATGTCTTCAGTCCTGCCAGTAGAAGGGTTTAGCCCATTGTGCCACTGGGGGCTCCTTAAGTTGCAAAGCATAAAGCAAGAGTACTGAATGTACATTATTGGAAGCACATGCAAACTTCAAAGTGAAGATGCAGCTGAAGCCAGATGACTCAAGGGAGAGAACCGGTTACTTGCATACAGTTAGATGACCTGCTTAAAAGACCAAATGTCTGGCACTTTATCTTGCATTCAATTGGTTTTAAAAAAAACAACCTCAAATTATTTCCATCTTTTGATGCTTCCTTTTGTAAAAAGAAGGAAATCCTCCTACATTAGCATCATATGAATTTATTAGTAAAAGTAAAGGTTTCTCATAACATTAAGTCTAGTTGTGTCCGACTCTGGGGGTTGGTACTCATCTCCATTTCTAAGCCAAAGAGCCGGCGTTGTCCGTAGAAGCCTCCAAGATCATGTGGCCAGTATGACTGCATGGAGCACTGCTATCTTTCCGCAGAAGCGGTACCTATTGATCTACTCACATTTGCGTGTTTTCGAATTGCGTGGTTAGCAGAAGCTGGGGCTAACAGTGGGAGCTCACCCTGTTCCCTGAATTCGAACCACCAAGCTTTCGGTCAATAAAAGTTGCAGTCCAAAACACCTGGAGGGCCCAAGTTTGCCTATGCCTGCTGTAGACCAGGGGTCCTCAAACTTTTTAAATAGAGGGCCAGGTCATGGTCCCTCCAACTGTTGGAGGGCCGGATTATAATTTGAAAAAAACCATGAATGAAATCCTATGCACACTGCACATATCTTATTTGTAGTGAAAAAACCACTTTAAAACAATACAATAATTAAAATGAAGAACAATTTTAACAAATATAAATTTATTAATATTTCAATGGGAAGTGTGGGCCTGCTTTTGACTGATGAGATAGGGCTGTTGTTGTTATTGTTTGCTTTCGAGTCGTTCCAGACTTAGGTTGACCCTGAGCGAGGGCCGGGTAAATGAACTTGGAGGGCCGCATCCGGCCCCTGGGCCTTAGTTTGAGGACCCCTCAAATAGAGATTGGTAGATATCATGAACTGAAATAAAATTTACACTCATTCCCAACATAAACTAGTATAACTCTGCACCTGAATTTTCAAACAAAGACCAGGGATTATAACAGAAAATATAAGCTTGCCAAAAGTGCAAAAACGTGGCCAACTTTACAGGTTAAAAACACCAAAATTGATAAACAAGTTTTGCATTTGTTTTCTTGAAATGTTACTTGCAGTTTCAAAAACTACTGATCTGCTACAATTCATGAGTGTTGAGTAGCACTAACAGAACCTCCTTATTGATAGAATGCTTTATTGATCAGCGTTACTCAACCTGAGACTCGGGACCCCGGGGGGGGGGTCGCGAAGGAGTGTCAAAGGGGTCACCAAAGACCATCAGAAAACACAGTATTTTCTGTTGATCATGTGGGTTCGCTGTGAGAAGTTTGGCCCCATTCTATCATTGGTGGGGTTCAGAATGCTCTTTGATTGTAGGCGAACTATAAATCGCAGCAACTACAACTCCCAAATGTCAACGTCTATTTATCCCAAACTCCACCAGTGTTCACATTTGCACACATTGAGTATTTGTAGCAAGTGAGGTCCAGATCCATCATTGTTTGAGTGCACAGTGCTCTCTGGATGTAGGTGAACTACAACTCCAAAACTCAAGGTCAAACCCTTCCAGTATTTTCTGTTCGTCATGGAAGTTCTGCATGCCAAGTTTGGTTCAATTCCATCGTTGGTTTAATTCAGAATGCTCTTTGAGTATGGGTGAACTATAAATCTCAGCAACTGCAACTCCCATATGACAAAATCAATCCCTCCAAACCACACCAGTATTCAAATTTGGGCATATCAGGTATTTGTGCCAAATGAAAATACACCCTGCATATCAGATATTTGCATTACGATTCTTAACAGTAGCAAAATCACAGTTATGAAGTAGCAAAGAAAATAATTTTATGGTTGAAGGTCAAGACAACATGAGGAATTGTATTAAGGGGTTGTGGCATCAGAAAGGTTGAGAAACACTCTTCTAGATGAAAATTGTTAAGCAACAGAAAATGATTTATGAGGAAAAACATACAACAGCTACAGCAATTCACTTTTGCTCAAAATCTCCAGGGAGCGGCAAGACTCTGCTTGCACCTTTTGGATTAATGGACAGCAAACTTCTTTGGCACTTTGAAATCAGTTTGCAATAGTTGAAGTAAGATGAGGAGAAAGGGGGAAGTAGCAAGAGGGGCAGAGAAACTGGGACATTTTAGAAGCAACTGAGAAAGTGGGTCAGCAGAGGATTAACCATCCTGCCAAATCTTGAAAAGTGGATGGAATTGTCTGCCTGCCTTCTGACCCTTACTATCCTAGAGAAAATAAATTCCATATTTAGGAAACATATTGTGAGGTAAGTCTTCCAAAAGAGAAGTCTCTTTCCCTCAAAATACTTGCTTACCATGCAAGGCTAACGTAACTATTACCAAGCTGGGTTGTTGTAAGTTTTTCAGGCTATATGGCCATGTTCTAGAAGCATTCTCTCCTGACGTTTTGCCTGCATCTATGGCAAGCATCCTGAAAGGTTGTGAGGGCCTCACAACCTCTGAGGATGCTTGTCATAGATTCAGTTGACATTCTCATATGTGCTAAGACAGGGGTCCTCAAACTAAGGCCCGGGGGCCAGATACGGCCCTCCAAGGTCATTTACCCAGCCCTCGCTCAGGGTCAACATAAGTCTGAAATGATTTGAAAGCACACAACAACAACAACAACAACAACAACAACAACAACAACAACAATCCTATCTCATCAGCCAAAAGTAGGCCCACACTTCCCATTTAAATATTAATAAGTTCATTTTTTGTTAAAATTGTTCTTTATTTTAATTATTGTATTGTTTTAAGTGGTTTTTGCACTACAAATAAGATATGTGCAGTGTGCATAGGAATTCATTCATGTTTTTTCAAATTATAATCTGGCCCTCCAACAGTTTGAGGGACTGTAATCTGGCCCTCTGTTTAAAAAGTTTGAGGACCCCTGTTCTAGAACATGGCCATATAGCTCGAAAAACCTACAACAACCCAGTGATTCCAGCCATGAAAGCCTTCAACAATACATTATTACCAAGCTGTTTAGCATTTTGAGCATCCAGGCAAATCATTGTGTAATTGTGGTAATGGCAGACAATAACAGGTAGCAACAAGTGATGGTTACTGCATCAGCACACTGAAGCTAAGTCAAAAGAGAGCGAGGAATTTCAAGCAGATTCTCAGAAAACAAAGTTGTCCTTGCCTACAAGGAAAAGACCAACCAAACCTGGAACTGTAGCTTCAAGCCGGGGCAAACTTTCAGATCCAAAACTTGGTGATGTGGAGTTCTCTGGAAAGCGGCCTTCTGCAAGACCTCTTTGTTGGGAGCTGTGAAGTTTCACATCCCAAAGGAAGGCTTTGTTTTGAGAGAACAAAGAAGGGGGAAAGCAGAAAAGGGGGGATTTTTTCCTCCTCCTTCAAGCGGTGGCACTTACTTCTGGTCTGATGAGACAGGCGTTTCCTCCCTCCAAGGATGTCCCCAAGCAGGTAACAGGACTTGCAGCGGCAAGTGCAGCCGCCAGAGTGTGGGCAAGGCGGCCAAGGTTGCTTCTGCCAAGGCCCAGCCTTGCAATGGGAGGGAGATGACAATGTGGGAGGGTGTGCTTGGCCCTGCAGGGGATCAAACAGGTTCCTCCATCTGCCACAGACGGAAAGAGAGCAAGCCTCTCCCCCTCCTTCCTCGCCCCTCTCTGCTGTTGCCTTTCAGCAAAGAGGTGCCTCTCCCTGGGTACATTCTTCACATTCCCAGCCTTGTGTCGCTCACTCGCTGGCTCTGGACATCCTGGATGACAGACAGGCTTAGAAACCAAGGCACAACAGGGTTGTTTTCATCAAATCCCAGATTGGGTCTGCAAGTGTCTGGTTTGGTACCCAAGGAAGCCAAACACCAGCCACCAGCTCCTGAAGTTGCTTTGCCCCATCTCTTCAGGGCCACACAATCACACTGTATGTCAGTGGTTTTCAACCTTCCTATTGCTGCAACCCCTTAATACAGTTCCTCAAGTTTTAATGACCCCCAACCATAAAATTATTTTCGCTGCTACTTCATAACTGTCATTTTGCTACTGTTATGAATTGTCATTTAAATATCTGATATGCAAGATGTGTTTCTATTCCCTGGACCAAATTTGGCACAAATAACCGACACACCCACATTTGAATACTGATGGGGTTGGGAAGGAATTGATTTTGTTATTTGACAGTTGTAGTTGCTGGGATGTATAGTTTACCTACAACCAAAGAGCATTCTGAACTCCACTAATGATGGAATTGAACCAAACTTGGCACACAGAACTCCCGTGACCATGAGAAAATTATTATTATTATTATTATTATTATTATTATTATTATTAAACTTTATTTGTACCCTGCTAGCATCTCCCGAAGGTCTCGATGCGGCTTACAAAGGCCAAGGCCTCAACATAACAACAACAAACAATAACAATGCAAGCAAATTAAAAACATCAGCAACAACACAACAAAACATTACACTATCACACAATAAAATCAGGGCCGGGCCAATGATGGGTACAGGTTAAAAGTGCTGGGTGTGTGAGGTGGTATGTTGGAGTTCTGGGCAAGTGCAATGTGCAGAGAGTCTTAAACTCTAATAAAGTGCTTCTGGGACAGAGTGCTGGAGGTTATCCTATTCTGGAAAGGCACATCGGAATAACCAAGTCTTCAAGTTCTTCCTAAAGACTGCCAACGTGGGTGCTAGTCTAATGTCTTTGGGGAGGGTGTTCCAAAGTCGTGGGGCAACCACAGAGAAGGCCCTGTCCCTCGTCCCCACCAAACGTGTCTGCGACACAGGTGGGATCGCGAGCAGGGCCTCTCCGGATGAACAAAGTGAGCGCGTGGGTTCATATACGGAGATGCGGTCACGCAGGTAGGCAGGTCCCAAACCGTTTAGGGCTTTGTAGGTAAGCACCTGCATCTTGATTTGGGCTCGGTAGGTAAATGGCAGCCTATGGAGCTCCTTAAACAGGAGGGTTGACCTCTCTCTGTAAGGAGCGCCAGTTAACATCCTGGCCGCCGCCCGTTGAACCAGTTGGAATTTCCGAGCCGTTTTCAAGGGCAGCCCCACGTAGAGCGCATTACAGTAATCCAATCGAGAGGTGACCAAGGCATGGACCACCCCGGCCAAATCAACCTTTGCGAGGTACAGTCGCAGCTGGCGCACAAGTCTTAGCTGTGCAAAAGCCCTCCCGGACTCCGCCGACGCCTGAGCCTCAAGCCTCAATAGTAGAAGGGTTTGGTGGACATTGACCTTGAGTTCTGGAGTTGTAGTTCACCTACATCCAGAGAGTACTATGGACTCAACAAATCCCTGATTGGGTCTGCAATTGTCAAGTTTGGTACCCAAGGAAGCCAAACATCAGCCGTCAGCTCCTGAAGTTGCTTTCCCCCATCTCTTCAGGGCCACACAATCACACTGTATGTCAGTGGTTCTCAACCTTCCTAATGCTGCAATCCGTTAATACAGTTCCTCCTGTTTTAATGACCCCCAACCATAAAATTATTTTTGTTGCTACTTCGCAACTGTCATTTTGCTACTGTTATGAATTGTCATTTAAATATCTGATATGCAGGATATGTTTTCATTCCCTGGACCAAATTTGGCACAAATATCCAACACGCCTAAATTTGAATACTGATGGGGTTGGGGGGGGGGGGGATTGATTTTGTCATTTTGGAGTTGTAGTTGCTGGGATTTATAGTTCACCTACAATCAAAGAGCATTCTGAATTCCATCAATGATAGAATTGGGCCAAACTTGGCACACAGAAATCCCATGATCAAAAGAAAATTCTGGAAGGGTTTGGTGGGCATTGACCTTGAGTTTTCACCTTGTAGTTCACCTACATCGAGAGAGCACTGTGGACTCAAACAATGATGGATCTGGACCAAACAATGATGGATCTGGACCAAATATTCCATATGCCCAAATATGAATGCAGATGGAGTTTGGGGGGAAACTTCGTCTGTTACTGGGATTTATAGTTCACCTACAATCAAAGAGCATGCTGAACCCCACCAACGACAGAATTGGGGCAAACTTCCCTAGCAACAGCCAATCCTTCATCCAGCAACAGCCAATCCAGTGATATCAGGGAATGGAAATACATCCTGCATATCAGATATTTACATTACAATTCATAACAGTGACAAAATTATAGTTACGAAGTAGCAATGAAAATAATGTTATGGGAAGGGGTTGCCACAAGATGAGGAACTGTATTGAGGGGTTGGAGCATTAGGAAGGTTGAGAACCACTGAAATACAGTGCGATTGTGTGGCCCTGAAGAAATGGGGGAAAGCAACTTCAGGAGCTGGTGGCTGGTATTTGTCTTCCTTGGGTACCAAATCTGACACTTGCAGACCCAATCTGGGATTTGTTTGAGTTCACAGTGTCCTCTGGATGTAGGTGAACTACAACTCCAGAACTCAGGGTCAATGCCCTTGAGTTCTGGTTGTGGCATTAGGAAGGTTGAGAACCACTGGTCTATGGGAACTGATACCCTTCACTATATACAGCATGACTATCACAACAGCTCAATGGGTCCTTAGGCTGGTGTCAAGGAAGCAATAGCTGAATTCCACAGGAAAATATCTTAAGATACATGCAGCCCTCTCACATCTGTTGACTTAGTGTCAACAGGATCCAGAAGCCTTTCTTGAGTCCCATTTCTAAATATTCTAAGGACTCATAAAAATAGTTCCAAACTATATGGTTTTGCAATGGCGTGGTGTAATGAATCCCTTACCTTGGCAGGCTAGCTTAGGCCTAAGAGAAGCCACAACATCCATTTTAGAGAAGGGAGACAGGGAGACACCATCTTAGGTTAGATTTGCCTTAAGGGTGTGTGTTCTAGTCTTGGAGGGAAAGTTAGACCACTAGGATTGGTTAGGAATGATGGGGGCGGAGCCTAAGTGATCTGAAGGAAAAAAGTGACTTTCAAACTGAGGCTTGAGTTCTCAGATTGCCAGTTGGCGAGTTGAGAGTTGGAGCTTGGAAAGGGTGTTAGCGTGAGCAGTTTGGGGTTGTTGGGGTTCAGCCTGATCCTGATCTGTGTGAACCGGATTCTCTGATAGTTTTTCCAACTGAGCAAGCTCTCCCTGACAGTGTGGAATCTGTTGTTGATGCTGAGGTCAGCGGCGAGGAAAGTGAAACTGAACAGCTGGAGGAAAATGTTTTGGAAGCTAGCCGTGATATCTCTCCACCTGGGTTTTTTAATGAGGACCGAAGAGAACAGATAGTTAGAGACAGAAATGTTTCACAGTTTCTACGAAGGTCAAATCGTTTACAGGAGAGACAGGCCCAGGCTTCAAAGTCAAGGGGCGTTTCAAAGAATATCTTCTTTGGTTTAAGGGGCCTCCTGCCAGGTGTCTCTTTAGATCAAGCAACGTTTGGGACTGTGGCTGTGCCTTGGCAGAATTCCTGTGTTCCATGGCCGGTAATCCCAGGGGCTTCTAGTTTTCAAGTTCATGGTTAGCGAGAGGCTAACAGGTTCCTGGTTCTTGTATTGTGGCTTTTGGAATTTTGCTCAAGTTCAGAGATTCTACTGACTGCTGTGTTTTTCTGTGGCTTTTTGACTTTGCATTTACCTTTCTTTTGTAACCAATTTTTCATCAATAAACAAGGATTGCTTTTCCTACAGTCCAGTGTGGTGGATTTAATCTTATGGTCTCGTTTCTTGATCTGGGATGCAACAGGGGTTTTGAAGAAGGACTTTGGGTCAGTCTTTTGTTTAGTATTCAGGGTAGCTATAGAGAAGTATAGCCAGAATACTCTGGGGAGCAGAACCCCGTCAGTGGTCTGTTCTTTTCCTTAAGGAAGGCTAGTTCAGGTTTTGGCTAGTTTCCTAAGGGGGATTTTTGTGGGAGTTACTTTCAGAGATTCATTTCCTGAAGTAATTTTCTGTGTGGGAACTTTAAGACTTGTAACCCAGAAGTGTTTAAGATCTCTTCTCAAACATAACCACAAGCTTTCAATGCCAGATTTTTACTGAAACCATCAAGCATTTGTACCTGTTCTAATAAAGTTCTTGTTATTTTTACCAACTTATACCAGCCTCAGTGTGAATACCTTTGTGGTAAAAGTGTTATTCAAGTCAGCTTTTTACCAGCGTCTAAGAAAACCTATGGTGACATAGAGTGTGTCACTGAGCAACCTCTCAATAGTACCTCAGCCTGTTCAGTAGTAATATGGTGGCAGCGGAAACCTTTTAAAGAATCTTTTTTTTTTTGGTTCCAGTGATTCCCAGTTCCTAACTTCTAAATATACAGCTGGTTTCAACAACCATTACTCCCTCTATACTTTGATGAGCTAATTTGGAGTGGGGTCATCATTATAATTTGGTAGGCTGCTGTGTGGTCATTATAATTTGAAGCAGCAGCAGTGTGATTCGTTATATTTTGGTGGTACAGTGGTTGTAGAATCATAGAATAGAATCATAGAATCAAAGAGTTGGAAGAGACCTCATGGGCCATCCAGTCCAACCCCATTCTGCCAAGAAGCAGGAATATTGCATTCAAATCACCCCTGACAGATGGCCATCCAGCCTCTGTTTAAAAGCTTCCAAAGAAGGAGCCTCCACCACACTCCGGGGCAGAGAGTTCCACTTCTGAATGGCTGTGGATTGTTATACGTGGCATATGGGAATTCATGTT